TATTTTCTTATCATAAAAAAAAAGTGTGTAAAAACTTAATGGTTTTGTTGGAGTTGTACTTTGTACAATCATAGCTTAATCACTATCTTCTTGTCTTCAATAAAAGAAAAAGTTTGTATTATTGTATCTAATTTGTCTTCCTCTCAACTCCTACTCATCAAGTGTCTCTTTATGTCGAGAAAAGCCTCAACACCCTTCCTATATTAAAATCATATAGTTTAAGCTCAGGTTAATTTAAAACCACAAAAAAAGTAACCAAGGCCACCCTTGTCTGAAGAAAAAAGATAAAACACCTATTCATTTTGTTTGTTTTATGTTTCTCCTGATATTCCATAGTTATTATTATTTGAGCATCTCATCTATATATATTGAAACAAAGCTACTTTATGTTTGCCTCACTTTAGAGCCATCAAATCCAAATATCAGAGTAGGCATGCACCCTTTTTTCAACCCCAAAAGGCCCTACTTTTGCTTCAAACAGAAATACACATTTGGAATTTAAACGTAGATGTTGTCTGCCTTGTTCCTTTGGCAAGATTTTCATGACTGTTTGTGAGGTAAAAACTAATTCAAAGTCAATTGGTTACAATCTGGTGTACTAATTCATGTCTAGATAGGACTTATTGTAAAAAAAAACGTCGGTTTATAATTTTTTGCGCAAATATAATGAGGATGATATTACCTATTTTCATATAGTTCGAGAATAATGAGGATTATAGAGAGTATTCGAAGATTTATGATTTTGTAAATAAATTATTAGCTATCATCATGTTAGAAATGTTTTATTTGTATGTCCGACCAAGTTGGTTGGACCCATATGCTACACCCAAATTAATTAGAAAATTCCACTTGAACTGTTTTATATGTAGCAGGTGTACTTCCCAAGTTTATCAAAATATTTTATTCAAATATAATAGTTTGTTGAGCTCCCGTATAATATTTATTTCACAATTTGAATAGTTTTTTCTTTAATTACAAGTTGAATAGTTTGTAATTGAAATTGTGGGTTAATTCTGTCAAAATATAAAATAAATAAATAATTAAAAATGCATTTTATTTTTAATAACTTAAGCTTTCATATTAAATGATCACTCACTTTTACTTGTAATAAAAGCAAGTAATTTAGAGATCATATATAAATTATAATCTCACTATTTTTTAAAAAAAAGATCACATAAGTTGATCATGAAAAAAAACAGCAGGTAAGGAAGTGTGTTTAAATATAGGTAAAAGGCATAATTACACCTTTTATGATTGAAATCTCATAGATTAATTTCTTAATTTAACTGATAAAGTTGTACTATTCCCCTTAATTCATTTATTTTGTAATTTTATATACATTTTGACTTATAGGGATAATGCCAAGTACTCCTCAATCTATGCCCGAAATTTCAGAGACACACTTATACTATACTAAGGTCCTATTACCCCAAACTTATTTTATTAATAATTTTTTACCCTTTTTAACCTACGTGGCACTATCTTGTGGGCCCAACGATGATTGACTTTTTTTTCAAACTAGTGTCACGTAAGCTAAAAAGGGGTAGAAAATTAGTTATAAAATAAGTTCAGGGGTAATAGGACCTTAGTATAATATAAGTGTGTCTCTGGGATTTCGAGCATAGGTTAAGGAGGTACTTGTGCATTTTCCCTATTATGTTAGATTCAAGTCACAACTATGCAAATATTATACTAATTTAAACAAAATCATTTCAAGCCACTACGATTTTGCATCAGAATCTCCCCAATACGATAAGCTTTGGAAAAACATCATATATATAATATATATGACATTAAATAATAATTTTATAGTGACTTCCATTGTCCTATTTGAGAACACAAAAAGGAAACTGACATTATTTAGCTCGTCGACATGGTGGGAAATGTATAACGTGCTCAATCTGTTAACGACTCCAAACTGTAGAAACAGATAGATCTTCATGCTATAGCCATAGGGGGTGAGTAGAATTATATATATATATATTAATAATTATTAAGTAGGAGTTCAATAATTGGAAGAATAAAAAGGAAATGTCAATCAGCTGACATAACCACATGACTGTCATGCCTCGATGTTAATTTTACGAGTAAATTTTTTTAATAAAGTATGATATATAGTTCTGTACAATCTTATTTTATAAAAATAAACAAATTATTTTTCATAGTCTTAGTTAGTTCTTGTAGCATTTATAAAGACTTAATTGTGTACTCATCCTACCACTAGAATGAAAATTATTAATCCTCTATTTAAGAGTGTTATAAATTTATCTAAACTCATTATATTTTAATCAAATTAAATGTAATAATTAAAAATAATCTAAAATGATGTGTTCTAAACTGGCCAACTCTAGACTTTAAAGTCGTCACTATCTCTATCTCTAGTCTCACTTTCATAAAACAGTCCGCTGGGCTGAAAAATTGGTGTGCAACAAATGATTTTTCTTGGACTAATTATTAAACCATCATTTCTATCATCAATATCAAATATAGTAAATGATTTAAAAAAATAAAAAAAGTTGCCTTTGCATATATCAAGCTCGTATCGTCTCGATAAAGGTGTTACGATTTAAAATTACAAAGGTCCCCTATTTTAATTAATACGGATTAATAGTGAACAAGAAAAGCTACGTGTCGTGATCGAGTAGTTAGCAATATTATGGAGTCACATGGTTTGATATAGGGATTGATTTAATATACCAAAAAGCTAAAAACTAAACTAAAGATATATATAGTAGAGTGAGTACTATTGAAATAACAAAATATTATGGTATATATACTTTGTGTTAGTTGTTATCTGATAAGATTATTAATTACTCTAAGTTGTTATGACATTGAAAGAAGAATGTTTGGAGGTCCTTCAAGGGAATGTTCGATATTTTCCATCAAATTTGAGGATGGAATTTCCCTAGTACTACTATTAAATTGGTAGGCCTAATAATGGGAATGTTTTCTTCAATATGGACCAATTGGAGTTGTGTATCAATGTCAATGTAAAAGTTTGAAGATGACCCTATTAATATTTGATTAGGACCACTCTTTTTTCATAAACTTGAAATTCTATTTACATAATACTCTAAGCATATGGTTGTCAAGAAAAGGACTCACATTAATTAGGAAATAAATGAGTGGATGCATACACATTATTATTGACTTTAGGGGTGTCCTTTCTCTCTTTTCCTCATTTGGCTTTTAAGTATACTTATCTCTAATTTCACGGTACCAATATGTGTATATACTCAGTTTATATATTGAAAAATTATGTATAGCACATCATTTGGGTCATTCATGTGTATGCCACTATTTTGGGGGTCTTCACTTTTTATTTTGCGACAACAAAAAATTATCGAAAATACCCTGACATTGAAAAAAAAATTAAAAATCACTTAGACATAAGTTTGAATTTTCTTATGATCATAATATAGTCGTAAGTTTTTTTGTTTTTTTTTAATTAAATCAGCCAAAAAACTTTAATCCATATATTTTCATAAAATGAACAACAAAACAAAAGTTAAAAGACCAATAGACAAAAATTAAAAGGAAAAAACCATTTGCAAAAATTTATTCAATTTCATGAATCACCCATGGTTTATGACCTTGATTCCCTTGTTTCGATAAAATATTCTGGTAAAAGTATTTTGAACAATATTTGAAGGGCTTAAGATATATTTACAAACAATTGGTGGATCATCTAAGCGACTACAACCCATATTTTTTGTCTTCTATTTGTTTTGGGCTGATATCACAGGAACCCACCACCTATGATGGGTTGCTCCAAAAGTATTAAAACGTATTACTATTATTGAAAAATCATCACATACTTTTAAGGTAAAATTATAATCTATTCTTTAAAAGTTTATTATTATAAAAATTCCTCAAAACGGATAAATAATATAAGCATTGCTACATTAATCTAATGCACGAGTTACATTTTATAAATGATACAATGATCTGATGCGCGATATACACTAATATAAGCGTTGATACATTAATCTAATGCGCGAGTTACCTTAATTTGATGTGCAAGATACACTAATATGATGTGCGAAGTACATTTCATAAATGATACACTAATATGATGCGCGAGATACACTAATATGATGTGCGAGGTACATTTTATACATGATACACTAATGTGATATGCAATATTCACTAATTTGATGCGCGAGATACATTAATGTGATGCGTGAAAATAAGAGATTTTAGAAATTTATAAAACTTATAAGGAATAATGGTAATAAGTAAACTAAAATGTGAGATTTTCATAATTAATCCAAAACATATATTAGGCAAAATGTTCATTTTCTTAGTTAGATCAGTATAATATTTATTTTTTGTAAGGCGCGTATTGAAATATTACGACCAATATTTTTACAATTTTGCCTTGTTAAAAAAAACTTCTATTATTTTTAGTCAGAATTTTATGGTCATGGTTGGATTTTGCGAGCTGTTCCAACCACTGCTGGATGTGATTCCAAGAGCCGAACGAGAATGAATACCACACAGAAGAGTCCTTTCTCTCCTATATGACCTGCCAGTCAATTAACAAGTTCCGGGACTTTCACTGCTCATTGGTGAGCGCAAAGGAAGCAAGGCCATGCGCACTAAGGCTCAGAAAGTTACCAACTGACTAAAGACAGAATCCTGAGCGAGCCGAGTGCGTCTCTTGCTGTCAAAAGTGCTTACTCATGGTCTATCGTGCAGTTGATGATATCATTCTGGACTAGTTTCCAGGCATACGCCAACCATACATACCGCTTTCTCGTTCAGGAATTTCTTAAGATTAAGGTTCGATTTTTTTGTAATAGAAGAAATGAATTATCATAATAAATATCATTTACGTTTCGAAATAAATATCACAATATTCAAAATTTATCAATACAATAACAAAATTTATTTCTACGTTAGAATAGAGCATGTAAAAGGTAGATTGTTACTTGGAAGATCATAAGATAGGGGTATTTTCGATAGTAAAAATAGTATTAGGCTGAACAAGGGCACAGTGTTAAAGACGCGCCCGCGCCACAAACCAGTTAGGTGTTATTACTCTCATAAAGGAGAGGGTTTTAGCCTTTTTTTAGGGTTTAAGACATCACAAGGGATAGCAGCTATCTCCCAAAGAAAAACTAAAAAAATGGGTGCAGAAGCCAAAAAGCAGAAAATGGCAGAAGAGGAAATCGGCATTGATGGGAAGCTGGTTATTTCTGTTGAAAAACTGCAAGAGATTCAAGACGAACTTGAGAAGGTACACCTATTTTTCTCACTGAGAAAAAAAAAACTTCTTCTTCTACTTTCTATACGTTTATATCAGTTATGATTGTTACTTTAGCTTTTTACCTCCAAAGTATTAAGCTTCAGCTTTGAATTACTAGTTGCTCTGTTGTTTTAGTCCTTTTGCGAAGGTTTTTCCCCTTTCTTGTAAGAACAATTACTTTTTAAATCATGGTTGGAGCGTACTTGTATAATTAAGATAAGTTCAAATAAAGAAATTGCAATTAATGGAACAAGATGTAAACTTAAGAACTTGGAAGACAGGCATCAAACATTTGGGGTGATAAAGGTGAAATGGAAAAGGAGGAAATTTAGAAAAGAGTTGGGGTGTCTTTTTCCAGAGGACTACAAAATTTACAAGTAAATATTTCAAAACTATAGGAAAACCGATGTTTCTATATTTTGAATGGAGGATCCCAAGGTTTTAGAATTGCCTTCAATTTTGTGATTGCTGCATGGTCCATCTATTGATGGGATGAATGGTTTGGGTGATTGGACCAAGCAAGTGGTCGTCTTGTGGCTTGTCCCATGTTTCTTGTTTTCTTTTGTATTATTCCCTCACCTCTTCAGTTGAGTTAGTGATGTGTTTCTTTGGGCTTGGTATGTGTCACCTAGATTTGAATCCACAAGTCCTTACAAATACATGGTTGGATGCCACAGAGGTTTTCGTGTTCATGAGAGTAAGAGACTGGAACTGTTTTTCTCTCGCATTTTTACCTATGGCACCATTTTTCGATGAGCGGGATGGATGTCAAGTGTCAATAAAACAGATGGTCTGGCGATGGGATAATTCTAGGGAGATGATTTGCAATTTTTGTATGTCCCAGGAAAATTTCCGCTATTCTTTTGGTCCAGTTGTTTTGATGTATTGCGGGGAAAATGCTATACTAGAAACTAAGAAGTTTTTGGGCAAGAATCTCACTGAACTGGCATTAAGAATTCAGTGCAATAATGAGAGTTGCGTATTGTTATTCTGGATCATAGCTTCAACACGATGTGCTGTACTGTTCCATTTTGGTCCTTGTCCCCTCTGGATGTGTGGGAGATTCTTCATATTGTTAATAATAGTTGTGTAGTGAATATGTTCTTGGAGATTTGTTTCCAACAGTATTCAACAATTAAACATTGACTTTTATCTTCTGTGGGAGGTACTGGATTTTCATGTATTCATTCCACACAACTGGTGATGATTGTACAATTGACTGAATCTGATGAGGTTTGGCGTGACATGTGAATGACTTATTTTAAAACTTTTGCTAGTAGCTTTCCTATTGTTGCTTGATAATATAATTTTTAATTCTTGGTTTTACATTTTTACTAATTACTAATGCCGTAACAATGTTCACTAGCAGATTAATGAGAAAGCAAGTGATGAAGTTTTGGAAATTGAACAAAAGTACAGTCATGTCCGCCGACCAGTCTATGATAGGCGTAATGATATTATTAAAGCTATTCCTGACTTCTGGTTGACAGCTGTTAGTGATCCGACCTGATTTCCTCTATGTTGCTGAAATTTTGAAGTGCTTCTCATCTATGACTTGTGTCATTTGCTTGCAGTTCTTGAGTCATCCTGTTCTTGGGGAACTTCTAACTGAAGAGGACCATAAGGTTTGGTCTAAATTAGTAAAATAAAGTAGACAATTGTCAAATCTTCCACTACATTGCTTTTCCCATCTTTACCAATGCTGAAATGTCAATTTGACTCCCAACGCGTATATTTTTTTGTGTTCTTCATATAGCTATTTGGCTTCTGAATGTCAATACATAAGTGACTTTCTTCATGCTAGATTTTCAAGTTCCTAAGTTCGGTCGAAGTGGAAGAATCTAAGGATGTGAAATCGGGTTATACGATCACGTTTGTAAGTTCACCCTCCACAAGAAGCTAATGTATCTACTACAAATCAACATAGAGCACTGATGATCATCCTCTTTGTTTTACAGAACTTCAATGCAAATCCTTATTTTGAAAATACAAAGCTCTCGAAGAACTATACCTTTCTTGAAGATGGACCTACCAAAATCACTGCTTCGACAATACAATGGACGGAAGGCAATGTGAGTTGCCAATTTTCTATTAAGAGGTGTACAGTCTGTGGCTTATCAATTTCCTCTCATTATTTATATTGTTTTACTTGTGAAGGGCATTCCTAATGGAGTTGCTCATGAGAAGAAAGGAAACAAGCGATCCCTTGCTGAGGAAAGGTTAGTTTCTTAATGTTTAGTATTTCCATTGATTTATTTATCAAGAAGACAAGCTCAAGAAGGTCTGTTGATTTTTATTATATATCAGCTATCAACTTTGAAAGTTTCTATAAACTTTAATTAGGTTTTCCATACCCTGCTTGTCAACTTGCTAGCAGTCACTTCTTTTGATTGTATTTGTTGAAACCTTAATTTGCCTAGTTTCTGCTAAGAAACTTTGTTAGCATTCACTACCAATCAGGATTGGATAGGAAGTTGCTGATATTCACATAGTAATGCAGAGCCCGACTTAATTTATACTGTCATTGTAGACATAGCGCAGTTCAACGTGTTTGCTTCAAATGTTAAATACTTTGATGAGAACAGGGGCACGAGTTTTATGATTGATGCTGATGATTATTAGTTAATTCAGCTCTGTAGATACACTTTTAGCAATAGTTTTGCACTGACTGAGTTAGCCCATCAAGTGCATGGTGGTTCTCATTAGCAGTTAGTTATAAGGTAATAAGTGGAAGGATCACATGCTCAGTGGCCTTGAGCTCCCTGGTCTGCATTGTAGCACTTGAATAGACATCAGTAGCTGGTATTTCATGTCAGTCTTGCTCAGCTGATTTCTCCCTTGGGGCTTGTTGTATATGCAGCTTTTTTAGCTGGTTCAGTGAAGTCAATCAGAAGGATGATGGTGAAGATGATGAGGATGTCTTTCTGGAGATTCAAGATGAAGTAATGTCTTTATCTTGTGTTCATTACTTTACTGTGATTTTTATTTCTTAAATATCATTTTACGCTTTTCATGGATAAGGTATAGTATTTGTAGGAAGATTCCACTTTCCCAACTTATAGTATTTTTCGTGGATAACATATAATATTTTTATTTCCATTTCCCCCTCCGTTTTGTAGGTTGCTGAGATAATCAAGGACGATTTGTGGCCGAACCCTCTAACTTATTTTAACAATGTTTGTTCCCTACCATCTTCTTTCTTGTTTTCCGCGTTGTACTTATCGTTAAGTCATGAAAGTCGATTTATTATCTCTGATTGTTTGTCTAATGTTACTTTTCCCAGGATCCTGATGAAGAAGATCTTGAGGAGGATGAAGGTGGCGATGAGGTAAGATAGTTATTCTTCATGATTGCAATAGTTGTGATAACATATCTAGACTGTAAGCACATACATACTTATTTGTTTGCAACTGTAAATGTCTCTTTTTTTCCCGACAAAAGTTACCGGTTTCTTTTTGTGCTTAATTATTTTATTTCATTTCATTATTCGATCCCATCAATATTTTAATATATGCTTTCTGGCTTAAGTGGCAAATTGTATTTAGTATCCTTCAGGTGTTGTTCAACTCCCACCGCCACTTGACCGTGTCTTCTTTTAGAGCTTTTTGAGAATTTTTCTCAATACTCTTCAAAAGAAGTGTCAACTCTCAGCATATAGTGTCATTAGTTTGTGAAGGCAATCAAAAGACCATATTTATGCTTATTGGGAAATGTCTTTGTTTCTGAGAAGAACTGACTATTGTCCTTAATTTTGCACAAAGGGTTTTTTTCTTTTTATTGTGCGCTTTATGATTTTACACTATTAGAAAATGAAATTGCATCAGTGTGAATAGGAAAAGCAACTATTCTGTGATGTCCAAAGCTTTTATTTTGGGTTTATTATGGTCTATGAACAAATTAACATAAGGGGTTATATGAGTTGATTGCCTTAACCAAGGACAATATGTTGTATGATTATGTAGGATTTCTTTTGGTATGACAAGGGGATGAACCCTTCTTTAATAATAAGACTCTTTCCTAGGATGACAACTTTTTCTTTAAAATGCCACTCAACCTTTGCTTTTGTCCTAAAAAATTACAAGATTAAGTTTGGCATACATCTGTTAGATTTTTGATCCATAGAAAAAGGAAGAGAGAATTAAGGGTATGATTGATGATAGATGGTGTATATAGTGTAATGATGGGAGAGGACATGGTAGTAGTGTAAGATTTTCTAGCTTTACACTGGAACTTGTGAGCTTAGTTTCCAAACTAATTTGTCTTAGTTTCCAAATTAATTTGTCTGTTGCAGTTATACATGAAAAATAGAGCAGATTTATATATTACCATTTACCAGTAGTTGATTATATATTTTTTTGTAGTAATATAGATCTTTAATTCGACATTTTAGTGCCATGGGAATGCTCCTTTTTGTGGAGACCTATGAACTATATTTCAGGATGAAAGGGGAGGGATAACTAAACCATTGAGTTCTTTTATTCCTTCGTTTCAGAAGTCAAACAGATATAAAACTGGAGGTTATGTCAACCGTCCAAATCTTGATAGGAAGGAATCATGTTTTCACTTTGTTTTCTAGTTTTACCAAACAACACATGGGTAAGGACACTTGATGTACGAAATGCATAACTAGCTTTCATCTTCCTGCTCCCTACCTTGTCTCTCCTTTCTCTGTTGAAGTAAAAGGATGTATAATGAATGTTCACATACCTGGCCCCTACCATTTCTCTGTTTTCTTTGTTGAAGTAAAAAGCTACTGTTGCAAGGTTGTGATGAGGATTTAAAATAGTTTGCCTTGTATAACTGACAGACATTTAGCTTTAATCTCTTGGATATACAGATATCTTGTGGTTGAGGCCTTGAGGGGAAGTTAACTGGGTCCTTGTTGAATAGTATTATTTTGATGCTCGTTATGTGATTTGCAGAATAATATCTAGGCAGAACACATAGTTAACTGGGTCAAATCCTTGTGATACACCTCTCCAACACGAGCAACCCTTTACACACTCAACTTTTCTAGGCATGTCTAAAGACGTCAGTGTGGTTGAATAGTTTTTCAAACTTGTGTTTGTCACTAACCAGTAGTGGCCGTGACTTGTATCAAACATTTTGGCCTCGAGGACACATGCACTGTTGATCTTTTTGGAATCAAGTGATATAGTAGTTGCTAATTTCTTTTCCGTCGTGAACAACTTTTGTAGATGGTTCTTGTTTCCTATAGCCAAATGAGAGATCATTAGCTTGAATGATTTAAGTGGTGTTGTGAGTCTCTGTTGTATAATTTGATTTTCTTATTGCAGGGAAAGGACAGTGAAGGCTCAGATGATGATGATGATGATGAGTGAAGTCTTATACTTCCTCTTTTCGAGTTATCATCTTCAAAAGTTTTGTTGAATATGGTTTTGTTGGTGTCTGTAGAGAGGCTTTATTTAACATGTTTGGAAAAGAATATAATTTATTTTAGGTGAGGTCATGCAATTGGTAACGTAACTCTACATGTTTTTTGAACCTTGTTGGTTTTCAATTAGTTTAAGCAGCATTGATTAATGGCAAGGGAGGGTAACTTGTTTGAGAACTCAAAGATTCTACCTGGCAAATCACTTTTTATCTTATTGATTCTGTTTAAGTGAGACAGGTGATGATTGTTTCATATCTCTCTTCTGTTTTAATTACCAGAAACAACATAAGTGAAATGCATGGTTCTTTTCTTTACTTTAAAACCAAACATACTTGTGTGACATTATGTTACACATTCAGAGGTACAATTGTCTTTTGGCTGATATTATTAGATATGGAAACAGTGGCGCCACCTGTTTCTTTAATTTTCCGGAGCTGATTATCATTCATATCACATTTTAAGGTTATATGCAGGTCCCCCAATAATGCCTTCTGCTTTTTAATTTATGTGACCTTATTTTTACAAAAAAAGGTTTTAAAATTTTAAAACAACACAGCTTAAATATTTATGTTCTTGTAACAGAAATTTTATTATCTGCTCAAATGTTATACATATTTAAAATCAGATTTTTGTAAAGGAATATCATAATATATTTGAGATGAGACCGGAGCCTAAAGGCTGAAAAATGTTAACAAAAATCTTAAAACTGTATATGAAATTTCTTTTTAATCAAAACGGTAAAATCGATCACGAAGTAGTGATTTTGTTCGTCGGAAAAAAGCAAAATTGCTGCTATTTTACTTGTGATTGAAAAAAAATATATACTTTTTTTTGTTAAATTTTACTTGTCACATCTGAATTTGTTCCATCCATTAAAAATGATGATTTACACAAATATTTTATCACACTATTCTTATTAATTGACGTTTAGTATTAGGTCTAAAGAAATAATTTTGAAAATAATTAATTAGTGATAAGGGTAAAACATGAGAAAAAATAAAAATAAAATTCTTAACATATAAAAAATGACAAAAAAAATTGAAAAAATATTTTTAAAATAATAAAAAATAAAGAGGGGCTAATATTTTGTCATCTTTTGGGTTGTTGTTCATTTGATTCTATTGCTAACTTAACAACTGAGTGAAGAAATTGACGGCCATTGTTTACACATAAATAATTTCAGCTATAAGACAATATACTGTGTCACTATTATATTGATTGTACCCCTAATTTTTTTATTTTTTTTTACATCAAATGTATTTTAGGTCAAATTATTAATCTGGGATATTTTTATTTAATTTTGCAGAGTGTAAGAAAATTTTAACCTTTACGTTAATATAATTAATACGACAAAAAAATTTTAAAAAGGAGAAAAAACGACCATTTCTTCACTCTATAAATCGGGTTGGATCACTACAAGGGAACATGGCTCTATTACTCCACATGCGCATATTTAGATCCCCATTTTGGATCAGAAGTAACATAACATTATAATAAATAGTTATAATATTGTGGCATTGTTAACATTGTTATGAAAGATTAATTATTTAAATTAAAATTAAAATTTTATTCTAATCAATTAAATCTTAATCATTAATTTTTACTTGCCGAAATCCAAAAGTCAAAAGGAAAAATAGAGTATAAGAGAAATAGATTATATTAGAGTAGGAGGCAAATTAAATATTTCCTTCTCTCTTAATGTTTCTTAATTTCATCGAATCAAAAGTCAGTTATGGTAGGTGAATAAATTATTGTTATCGAATTAAACACCGCCATTGTAGTTGTCGATTATTTTCTATATATTTGAACTTCAACTATTATCTAAGATATCTTATCAATTATCACAAATTAAAATACTGATATCTTATGCATTGGGTGTGACTTTTTTGGTCATATAAATAATAATAATAACTTCATCCACTAACAATAACAATTCTACTGAAACCTTCTTGTTGTCAAGCTAATCTCCATCGATATTACATTTGCATACAATAAAATATGAAATAAGGATTTGAGTAGATTGAGTTAGTAATGGTGACCGGTAGTGGTGTACATAGCTCGGTTTGGTTTGAGTTTTTATTTAAAAAAATTTAAACCAGTTATGTTGGTATATCAAATCCAAAAATCAAATCAAATCACATAAAGTTATTTTTTTCGGTTTTGGTTTTAGTTGGTTTTTTCGAATTTTTTTTGGTTTTTTACAATCATATTGCATTTGAAAAAGTGATAAATATTTTTTCACTTACGTGTCTGATAAACTAAACTTAGAAAATGTTAAGTGAATAGAAATTTTTGAAAAGACTGTCAAATTCACATGATTACAAAATATTTTTTTTGAAATATCGACGCTCATTATGCTAAACTAATAAGATTAAAGGTTAGATGCGAGTTGAATACAAAAAATATTTACAAAGTAAATTATTAACTTTGGATTTGAAAAAGTATAACAATATAATTATAACGTCGGGTCTTAACACAAAATAAAACATTTACAATTTTTACAAGTCCAAATTTGAAATAAAATAGATAAATATTGAAAACTATAAATTAACTTAAAATATATTAACAAAGTAGATTATAAATAATAATTTTTAGTTATAAATAAAAATATATATATATATATATATAATATAAAATTGAAAATCATAAACTAACTAAAAATATATCACCAAAGTAGATCATATGTAAATAATAATTTTATTTATAAATAAAATAAATTATGTATATATATATCTATATCAGTTTGGTTTGAGTTCCGTTTTTTTTTTCTAATACGAAACCAAATTAAAAGTGTTTGTTTTTTTTCAATCGTCAAATCAATCAAATCAAATCACAAGGTATTTTTTTCGGTTTAATTTGATTCATCGGTTCGATTTGACTTAATGATTCGATTTGTACACCCCTAGTGACTGATGTCACCGATGAAAGAGAGAAAATTTCCAACTCTACTGAATTAAACCATAGGCATGACAGAGTATGATGGTGAAGAAATTGAGGTATTTGTGTAAATTATATTGCATATTTTTTGCTATTTTTTCCCTAGCATTTATCATTTTAATTTTTGTATATATGTAATGCTGATACATTTGATTTATACAAGTTATGTAGTGTTGTAACCCACATGTGATTTTTGTAGTCCAGATTTGTATGTTATCAGGAAGAATACACTATAGCTCCTAATTGTATAAGTTCAAACATTTTTGAAAAATGATTTTGTATTTATTCTATATGTGAATGCTTTTATATATATTGATTTGTATATCTATGTATATTTTAGCCCATCTGTGAAAGATTTTGTATGCATTTGATTTTTAAATACAAGTATTTTTTTAACACCATATAAAAGTTATAGTTCATATTTGTATATTATGAGCAAATATACATTTAGATATTATTTGTAATTGTATGTAAATGCTGAAATTATATACTACAAAAAAAAAAGTTCAACCCCTACTCAAAAAATTCAAATTGTATATTGATTTTGTATCAATCATACAAATTATACTAATACAAATAACTAAATTTTCTTTGGTTTGTGAAATTTTGATCCTTAACTCTTATGCTAATAAAATGTTTAGTGTATTTTTTTTAGGTGTCTTCAGTTGTATAGGATGATTTATAATAATGAACTTTTCAAATCATTTATAGAAAAGGTGTCACTTTGATTATGACTATAATATCCTTGACTTGTTTTCTTTGTGAATTATAGAAAAGGTGTCATTTTTTTGTGAATTATTTACCACCGTTTTCTTTGATTTGTGAATTTTTTTGTTACAAAATAGTCGCATGTATCATAAATTAAATTGAGAATGTAATAGCCGATGATTAACTATATAAGTAATAAGTGGTTTATGAGTGAACTCTTATACAATATTTTTCAAAAGTTTTGGTGCTTTAAAATATTGTTGGGAAAATAATATAATTTATTTTTGTGTGACGCCATGCAACATAACTTTACGTGTTTTTTATTTTTAACTGATCACATGACTCTTAGATCTTTTGTTCTGCAAATATAATTATATTTCCTATTTAACATTATTAACTTATATAATTGATTACTTCTTTTGAAAATGATTTTTTTTAATAAGTAGGTCGATAACATAGAATAGAAAAACGATAAAAAGCTATCATGCAATTACTGAAAACGCCACATACACAAGTTGCTTTCATTAAGGTTTTCCCTTGGTCGTATTAGATTTAATAGTATTGCCTGATTGCATTTTATATTCAAGGTGTACTAAATAATAATAAAACAAATAATATTTAGTAAAGTTGATGGGTCCTTGACAATGTTAAATTAATTACAACTAATTAAAAAGGAAACAACTTAACTCGTGATAGATATACAACATAATGCATCATATGCTTAAAAAGGACCATATGATAATGTCTGATTGACACAATAATTGGATTCGTCCTTGTAACGATCCGATTTCGTTCTTATGAAAAAGTCAATAAAGAAAGAACTAGGCCAAAAAACTCTTTTGTAGTAACTTGGAATTATCTAACCTAGCCCTAGATTTAGAAGAAATCAGATTCAGTAAGATGTAAGGAAGTAATGAATAAGAGATCTAATTGTGAATTTTATTACATGAGTGGATAGATAAGACACTTTCGAACCCGTAGCACTTTACATAATCAAATTTTTACGAGTAGAAATCCCAAAATTGGTCTTTTTGTGAATGAGTACATTCTGTCAAGGCTGCTAAAGCGGGATTCTGGTTGCTAGAGTGGCGCAGCTGCAGCGGGATGATTCCATCAGAGAGGGACAAATGTGTTTTAAAGTCACTTATAAATCCTAAAACGAACCTTATTTGGTATTCACCGACTTCTAGGACTAAAAGAGGCGATCCTAGACGAGTTCTTAATAGTTTTTCATCATTTTTAGGCTAAAGGTAAGAATTTAACTCTCCGAATCTATTTTTCAATCCGTAAAACCTATTTTCTTTGGTTATTATCGATGATGAAGGGTTTATATATAAGAATTATGGTGAAAAAGCCCTAATTTGGGTATTATGATCTTGGGTTTGGTTTAGGGTTATTGGGTTTGTTATAATTCAAATAATTAGACCTTTGATTGTTGATCCTTGCGTATATTAATTGTTGTAGACCTAGATCAAGCGAAAAAATCTGAAAAGAGAACATTCAAGTGTCTTAGGGGATTCAAGCTTGGACTCGAGGTAGGTGATGGTTGTGATTTCATGTTGGTGTGATATATGTTTGTTGTTGCTTCATTATAATACATGTATGTA